CCATTGTCAGGGGACATTGCTGTGGGGAGCATCTCGCTGACCCATCCGCACAAGCACTACAGCAGGCTCCGAGTTCCCTCCTAGTGATGTGTCGCTCCAAGGTGCAGTGTGTCCAGAAGGGGAGGGAGAATTTTACGACGACCTGGGAGAGACACTGCCCGGAAGGTTCAAGCCCCTGCGTGGTGGCAAGTGGCACCATCGGCAGCCTGCGCTGTGGGAACAGGCATTTTCTACCACAGTTGCGCCTGGAATGTTCCCGTCTACATCGTTTTATGGTTAGATGAGAGCTTGTTCAGGTGCAGGTTTGTCGTCCAGATTCGAAACTGAACTTGCCTCCGCTTGTTTGGTGCCCCCACCCCCCACTCACCCACCCGCCTTAGGACGTGGTGTCCCAGAGGAAGGGAAGTACCTGAGGAGGAAACCTGAGTGAAACGGAGGCCAGGGAGTGTGCAGGGAGCGGATTACTGGAGAATTCCGTTCGCCAGGAGCAGTAACAGTGTAACAGCAGCAGCCTGCCTCACCGCTGCACCTGCCTGTTCAGCTCACATTAAAACCTGAAACGCAGCAAATCCCACTTCACAACGCTTTCAGGGCTGGAGCCTGTGAATTAAAGGCCTCCATTGTTTGCAAGGATTATTTCCTTGACTCTACCAGCTTCAAAGAAACGCGAATCTTCACTCACTTTTCTATTGATCCTTGTTGATCAGATTAACTTTGTTTTGGATTCCTATTGAAACAAAGGCAAACAGATACATTTTAAGCACTTTCATGTTTAGCTTTGTCTCAGTGCTAAATTCTCACTGTGCTTCTGCTTCCTTGTTATAAAGATTACTAGGCAGTTGGGGGAAAATCGGGGAATTACCATAAATTCTATTCACTAAATACCAACACTTTCAGGCAAATTATCTCAATTGTAAAATACTTTGGCATACCAAGTAATTATGTGCAATTAAAACCCCACTGTTCGTTTACTTTCCCTTGTTAATTTATAATAGAATACCTGTACTCAGGAAAGCGAAAAGATTAGCAAACACTAGAAATCAAAGACATCTCTCAACGCCGCAAAAATAAAGCCAAACCTTTATCCTACTCACTGGGCACTTCAGATTTCAGATGAAATTATTTAATACGCTCCCACTCTTTAATAAACTGTAAAGAATCTGAAGAGTATTTCCTTGAAGACAGAATGTTCTCAGGCGCTTGGTAAATACACTGAGGAGGCCTCGCCCCTGCCTGTTCTCCACTCCAGCGCATGACTCAGATAGCCAGTGCTGGCAAGAACGCGTTTCACTCGGGGCCGCTCAGCACCGCTGCTCACCTGCCTTCCCGTCCCCCACGGGCTGCTGCTGAACCCGCACTTAACCTTTACTGAAGAGTCAACCCTGCTGCCAGCCCCCCCCCCCCCCGTGCCAGGCAGAGTCCAGAGCAGACACCTAAGTATTTGCCAGGCTCTGCCCATGGAGTCCTCTCTTCTCAACACCACCGTGCCTCCCCCAGGGAACCCCGCATCGTGGCTCTTCCGCTGGTGGGTGCAAAACCTCTCCCACTGGTCAGAGCCCCCACCCCAGACCCGAAGCCGGAGTTCTGTGTCAGTGACATTAACTTATGAGAGGTCAGAGGCTAATTCTCTCACGAACATTAGTTTGCAGCCAACCAGACGAAGGAGAGACGCTTTTTTAGGGAAATTTTAAGAACACACTCATAGGCCACACTTGCCATGATCAAGGAGTGACCAACAGTACTGACTTCCCCTGGGTGGGGGGAGGGCACCCCTGGAACTCGAGATATTTGGTGGGAGCACCCAGAAAGCCCCAGACAAACCGGAGCAGCTGGTCACCCTCACGTATGTCATGGCTCAGTCGTCCACATGATCATGTGTGACAGGGGCCTGGGTGGGCACGTGCGGNTGGGCCTGGAAAGCGGCCAGGAGAACCTGCCCGGGGGGAGATGGGTCCCGAACATGGGAAAGGAGGCGAGGACCCCAGCCCTCTCTGCTGGCTCCTTCTCCCCGAGGCAGCCTCCTAAGACCAGTCACATGCCATCAACACACCTGCACAGCCCTCCAGCCGGCCTGATTCCAGCTGCACCCCTCTGCCTGGATGGGACGGGAAGGGGTGCCGGCCGCCTGAGAAGCTCACAGCGGACCCCTGTCACCGTATGGGAGCCTCTGCCTCCAGTCGTTTAGTGCGCAGCTGTGCACGTTTCCTCTGGAAAACCTTTGACGTTCATTGAGACTTTAAGAAACTATGACTATTTCCTCCAGCCCCCAGCAGAAAAAAAATTATATATATATATAGAGAGAGAGATAATTTATTAATTTAAAGAAATAAATCACTGCTCTACAGCCGCTGTCTTTCATAATAGTAGATGCTATCCATGTGCCATGTGCCCCCTTCAAGGCCATCACGGTCACTCCCTCCTCTGGCCCACAGTTCCCACTCCAGTGTCCTCTGGAAGCATCATTCCAGCACAGAGGTGATGGGTGAGGGGAGGCAGGCTAAGACCTGAGCGCAGGTCGTCCTCCACACCCTGGAGAAGCGGGACTGTTTCCTGGAGCCCCTCCTGGTGAGGAGCCTGCAAAGCAGCCCTGTGGACTAGGGTGCTTAGTAGGCAGGGCGGCTTTGGTCTGTGGGAACCACCTGAAGGATGGTCTGTCTCAGCCTGGGCCTGATTTCAGGGACTGTGTTCTCCCGTGTTCTTAGAAGACCTGCCTTGGTCTGCCAACCACACCGTGAAAAGTGGCTCTGGCTTCCTGGAGGCAGAATAACTTCCCATCAAACTTAATTAAAGTGGGACCAGTCCTATTTATCTGGTGTTTTCTCTCAGGCAATGCTTTTCTTCTGACTGGGACTTGAGGGCATCCCCTCCCAAGGCGCCTTGGGCTACGGAGCGTGGTCACTCGGGGGCAACCTGACAGGTTCTGCCTCTCCCGGGAGGAGATGCAGGTCCGCCCACGGGCTCATCCAGAGGAGCCTCAAAATCACTTCCAGCCCAGCCGTGGAGACCATTTTCAGCTTAAGGTGTATCTGCAGGTCTCTGGCCTTCTCAAACAGCCCAACAGCCAGCAACTCCAGATGCCAGGCGTCTACATGGGCACATTTTGCAAAGCCCCTCCCCCGGGATCACATCGCAGGCCATCTGGCATCGCCCATCCCCACTTGTCCCCCGGTGAACCCCAAATGGGGTGGGATGGAAGAGACGCGCCTGCCCACGGGAGGGGGCCTTGCTTCTTGGAAGTTACTGTAGACATTTAAGCTTCGGGATTTCTGTCTGACCTCTGTCTTTAGAGGCAGAGAGGGGTGGTGCCCAACTAAACACGTCAGACCCTGCAAGTTACCTGTGGGAGCTTGTCCTATCCCACAGGCACCGCAGCCCAAAGCCCACAGGAGACACCTGCATCATGCACCAGCTGCGTCGCCTGTGCGGCGATTCAGCTTTTCCACAAAGTCCCCAAAGGCTCGCATTTGATCCCGGCTTTCTGGGACCAGCACTAACGCACGCTTCAGTCACCCACAGCATGTCCAGGGACCGAGCACGCGGGCTGCTGAGTGGTGCCTGGGTCTGTCCCTTCCGCAGCGCGAGCGGGTCAGCATGGCAGCTCATTCAGCACTTGACTTTCCAAGATAAATGGCCTCCCACTGTCTACACAGGGTTTGGTCTCCACAGCTGTTTTCATTTTATGTTGTGTCTGCGATTTCACCAGTGTCACGTAATTTTCACATTTTCCTAAATTGAGCTGTTTTATTTTCTACTTCTGCATTGCTGCTACATCACAGGAACGGTCTGGGGGCTCTTAAAAGGGCAGCGTTTTAAAGTTTTGAAAGACAGCTCTACTTGAAAAGGAGTTCTGTAACTCATTTTCAGGTTCTTGTGCGTTTTGGATCTTCGGGCATGGGCTCCATCACTCATACGCAGCTTTTCCATGTGGCTGGAGGAGAGATGGCCTTACTAAATCCCATTATTCTGAAGAACAATAAAAATAACAGGATGGTGACACTGGAGCTGTGATAAATAACATTTGTTATTTTGCCGTGTCATTCTCTCTCTTTGCTCCTGCCTGGCTGCTGATAGAACACATCAGGGACCCTGGGCCCTGCTGGGGACGGGGACAGCTGGGAGTCTGTCTTCTGGGACCAGCAAGCTCACAGTCTGCTGCTCTCTGCAATCACGGGCAATGCACCAAACACTCCGACCACGGCAGCCCAAAAGTCCCCGCCTCAAAGCAACCCCCAGTCTCTCCTTTCTCCTCAGTGGAATGATCTGGAAGGTCTGGATTCCTGCATCACCTTCTCATCTGCTTAGTCATTGGAGATCCAAGCCTGAAAACCAAGACTTGATCAAATCCGAGTTAAAAGGGCAGCACGAAGGATTCGGAAACAACTGTCTCGGCCCTGAGGCTCTCACGGATGACACTTCATTAAGTTTGCCCAGCCAGAAAGGAACGCGCGAACTATACAAAATCCACCTATAAAACCCCTGTGTTTGTGTTTATCTGGTCATCAGAGTAGAACTGTATTTCTGAAAACAGACAAAAGGACCCAACACATGCGATGGTGTTAGGAAACTGCCCTCTTAGGGACTCCATTCTCTTCTCTGCCCAAGTCCTTGATGGGCATGGGACAGTGGCCTTTGTGGGCTGGGTAGAAAACAGGCAAACTAGAGTTCCAGGCCCAGAGGAAGGCTAACCGGGTCATGCTGAAAGCTCCCAGTGGCTGACGCCTGCGCCCCTCCATTTCTCTGAAAGGCACCATTTGATGGTTTGTGGAATTTGCATTTCCTCCCATCACTCACATTTCTAAAGGAGTCCTTCCACTGCACGTCTGATTTGGATTGGTCCAGTTGACTCCTGGAGAAAGTCTGTCCCTCTCGATTATGCCAACATTTGCAGACCCCACCACTCCAGGCCTCTGAATGCACGGGCACCCACCGGGCCATCGTAACAGCAACTGACCCCTTTCCCCAGCGCTCGCCGCCGTGGGGCAGACCATGTTCTGAGTTGTTTGCAGTGTCAGCTCAGTTACGTGTCACATCAACCCAGCAAAGCAGGACTCTGCATGAAGCCCACTTCACAGAGGAGGCAGCCNATGACAGAAGAGCCGCCATCCCATACCCAAGAGGCTCCATCAGGTCCTCTTGTCTCCACCGTCGGCTTTTTCCTGTCCTCTCTGCTTCTGGCCAACGCCCAGGGGCCAGGTTCAACTAGGTAACACCTGGGGAATTGACTAAGGGTGCAACCACTGACCCCAGAAGGTCAACACTAAAGTCGAGGAGTTTCCTCAGGGATTTCTCTCTTAGTATGGCAGCTGAGCTAGAAGTAAACCACCCATCAGTGCACTTAATTAAGAGTTTATTTCTTTGGAATCTTTTCCCTAAAGGGACTTCAAATGCACCTGCTTGATTAGAAATAAGTCCGAGTGGTCAGGGGTCCCGGGAAGGACAAACCTGAGGCGGTTCCACGCAGAACCCCACAGCCACATGAGGGGGGCCAGCACTGTGGCGAGCCTATGTCTGCCATCCACCTGCCCAGAAGTTCCATCCAGAAATCCTCGAGTCTGCGTTCTCAGGGACACCGCAGAGTGCCCTGGCTTTGCTACAGCACATTTCCTTAGGAAACGCTTTTCTTGTCCTATATGGCAGTGGGGACAGAAGTGGGAATCGAAGAAAGGTGAGCCAGCAGGCAGACCGGGTATGGGTGAGATGGGCAGCCTGGTTTGGAGCCCCTTGGCAAGAAAGCAGTCCACCCGGTGTGTGTCCCACGGCTTACCGCCTGCTGTGCCCAGTCCAGCACCAGGCAC